TCTGTTCTGTATCACGTGTTCGCTCGTCTGTAGGTAGTGGTAGTTCAACAATAGATTTCTTAGTAGCGTTCTCAGTGCAGTCTAGAGCCAGTTGAAGTGGAATGCTGTTGAACGGTGATCTCACATCAAAAGACACCAGTTTGTGGTCGTCAGGTATCTGTATCATGTTGTCTTCGTTGCGCCAATAAAGTTCTCAGTAGTCTGCAGTTTATGTCTAGATTCGTCAGTCAAAGGTTTCAGTACATTAGTTAAGTATTTAGACAGTTGGTAAGTCCAGATCGGGGACCCACGGAAAGAAACTATGGGCTGCATAGGTATGTATGTATGTTCTGTGGGTCCCCGAATCAATTAAATGCATCGAGGTAGTCGTGATAGAAAATTTAATTTGATCTGTGCATAGAAGGATGCTTAGGAAGCAAAAACCTGCAAGTTATGAAATTGAAAATTGAATCTAACATCTGCCAGTTGGTCATTTTAAATTATTGTTTTTTTCCTCAAATTAGTCACTAAAAAGCCTAGATAACATTTCAGTGATAAAAAATTGATGGAGTAATCTTAAATTAAGTGTAGTACACAAATTCAACAATTTAGAATAGAAACAAAACCATTTTTGTAGAAAAAATGCAAATTTTCAAAAACATGGTTGGCAAAACTAGGTTGCCATGGTAGTCAATGTTGACGTGCACGTCACAACGACTTAAAAATGTTCCCAGATAAAATTTAGGAAAATTCGCTACAGTTTGGCAGTCAGGGCTTGAACGGTTTTGAGGTTATTCAACTTTTTAGTAGTGGGGGGGAGGGGATCAAAAGCCCCCCGGTCTGAATAGGGTTAATTAGGCCCCAAAAAAGGATTCTTGTAAGTCATGCATACCTGAAGTGTAAGACAAATTCGATAGCATGTGGGAAGAACAAGCGAACTAATCAAATATCTAGCGTATATAATTTTTCTTTTTTAAAAGTGGAGAGAACAAGCAACAAAAGGGTAATTCTCTTCATTTGTAGGTGGTTCATTGCTCACAATTCTTTCGTCTACAATGCGAGATTATTATTCTCCAAGGACAACATTGGGCCAACGCCACCACCAGTTTTGTTACTCATCGACGGTGGTCATTACCAAAATCTCGCCATTTTGCCACTGTTACAGAGGAAACTGAAAAGGATAGTTGTTGTCGACGGAGGATATAAACACGAAGAGGAAGCATATGGAGAAGATATTCTGGACGCACTGATGCTCGCTCGTGCTGAGCTGAACTGCTCATTTTATGGTGAAGACGGTAAAGATGTCATTACTGACTTGATGCAGATGTTTGTTAGGCCAGAACGGGAAGAAAAACCGCGTTATTACAAGTATGCAACGCCTGCCTTTTTTGTACTTTATGATCCATAAAATGATCGTGTTTCTGCCTTTAAGAGTATTTGTTCACAACCGATTTCAAGGGGAGAGTATAGGTTGGGGGTAAGGAGGAGGGGCGATTCATTTGTGTTCACTTGGACAGTACCTTTTGTTATGAATCTGTTTAACATTTTCCTCTCTACATAGGTTTATAAGAAGGTCTAGATCTCGAAAATGACATTGTCGAAACGTACTTGCCACGTCATGATCGACAGCGATTATAAGTTTAAGAGTAAAGGTGATCTGAAACTGTCACTCGTACTGGATCTCCACGTCACAGTCAAACGACGCCATCACAGACCGGGACCGCACTAAACCTCGAAAGCGGCAGCATGTGCAGTGACAGTTTGGTTAATTTTACAATGACTTGGTTGGTGCTAATTCTCCCTTTACAAAAACATAACCAGTAAGCATACCAATCAAATTATGAACACGTTGACATAAAATGTCAAATCACACGTCTCAATATTATTTATGACGTCGTTGATATTTGCATTTTTTATTTATAGGGAAAGTTTTCGAAAGATCTTGGAAAGGAGAAGATATTTTTCCATTACTCAAATATTTGCTGAGATATGAAATGTTGAATTTGGAAAAAATTTGGGCAGCCTTTGTGTAATAAGTCTAAGGTTAAGTCTTTTATAAACTCAATATAAGTAGCACAGTAACTATCTCAATTACCGTCAACTACAACAAAAAAAATAACCGAAAATTCCCTTCAATGCAAAGACCTCAGAGACGCCTCAGAGATGCTAAGAAGAGAGTTTTTTAGCCAAGAAACGAAAATCGTTTGATGGTACATCTTTCCGCAACTACCGAGTTTTCAGAGTTTAACTAGCTCCCCTGGTAAAGATCTTTTAGCAAAACGCATTCTTAGCATTTAAATTTTTCATTAAACGCGTTCCTCTGGAGTCATGCCATGAGACTTTATAAATTGACATGAAACGTCAAGTAGCATTTGGGGAGTCGTTTTTTGAAGAAAAGTATGGTTTTAGCGTTTTACTCCCCTTTTGAAAGCTCTTTCATTATACATCACATATCTTTGTCCTGTTTTTTGGTGACATTGGTCGTAATGTCATAATCTGACATCTTACCTGAATAATTTGGTAAAAAATCGTAGACTGTTTGGCAAGTTTGGTAAATAGAATGAAAAGTAACGTCAATACAGAGGAGAAGTCGTTACGTCACGATGCCTTGGTAGCAAATTTTTTGGATGACAACAAACCGAAAATTCACCTAAAAGAGAATCTGCACCGCTTCAAACTTCATCGATCTTATTTAATTTCATTTCATTTGTCAAAAGTTGGCGAATTTTTCTTAACTGCATCCGAAAGGACCATATCTAAGTTTAGAAAAAGGAAAACGAAAATTTTTGAGTTGGTTCACCGACTCCATGAAGCGGGCGCTTGAAATTAGGAAGTTTCCTGTCGCAGTCGTGCAACCACGGCAAAGAAATGAACAAAATAGCATGATGCACGCGCAAATTTGTTCTTTTGTCGATAAAAACCTTTTCACTGACTTTTTTGCCGTTCTCCTTCCGTCGCCGTTGTCGTTGTTTTTGTTGTCATCCAAAAATAGTGCTACCATGGTGGTGTGACGTCACACTTCTTCTCTCTATAAAATGTAAAATTAGCCTCACGGATGCCTTTGAGGGGTGGTTTGTTCCACCGTGTAACATCCCTTTTAGAAACCTATCAGAGTCCAGTAACATTCTGCAAATGTTTCTTTTATAATTAAACAGATTTAAAGTCCACTACGATAACGATAATGACAATGATCCGGAACGCAATGGAGAAATCATTCTTCTCGTACCAAGGAAACAAGAAAAAAACAATGATTTAACTGGCTGCTGCTGCGAGTGTTGTCATCGCAAATCATGTTTATGTACTTGTTTGTCCAGCAACGACCAGTTCCCACAACACCACACGGCCAACCAGTTCTTCACACCCCGGATGTTCTCTGCTTATCACGAAGAAGGACGCCTGGCCTGCAAAGAGGCTAAAGCTGATGAGTTTTTGAAAGCTGTTTTCTCTGTAGTTGATGTGAGAAACAGTTCGGAAGAACCAAACAGACCTGCCTTTCAGCCTCCGCGTGGCGCAGGCAGGTCTAAGTATAACGAAATTCCATTACACGAGAGATCACGACAGAAATAAAGTTAAACAAGTCCTAGCACTTGAGACTTTATGACTCCTACACATACAAAGACTAAAGTCACTCGCCGAGCAAAGACTCAGGGCGCATAATCAAACTTCTTTTAGACAACATTAAACCAATAGAAGCTTTTAGGTAGATTTTTAGAGATCATTGCACTTTACGAGGAATAAAAGACTCATCTGCTATACTGTAGAAAAACTGGGCATAATCCCACAGAATTGCAGTGATGTAGAATAATACCAGCAGACTTAAGAATAAGTTCCAGAGATTGGACTTTATGCGTTTGCGCCAGTATTGTACTTAAGCTGTTTGAATAATACTAGCTTATCGTCGAAAAAAAAAAACATGTAAACTGTTATTGGCAGACTCTTTCTGTTTGGACCAAATCAAACAGGATTCGCAAAACTCCAAGACCATTTTCTTGGAGGTGTTAGTGCAGGTAGTTCAATAGGTTATTTTTTTTGCAGTAAGAGTTTAGATTAGATATCTTACAGTCTAGGGAAGGCATCGAAGTCTTCTTCTATCTCATTTATCCTTATCATATACAAAATGCTGTAAAACTTGACCCTTCTTACGTTTATCACTGGGGCTATTTGACATCAATTTTTTAAACTCACCTTTTATGTAGGCTGGCTTTTCAGCCGGTTGAGGAATCTGGTTTCAATTCTTGTCCAAAGAAGTAACGAAGGCGGACAAAGGCCTTGCTATCTAGCCTATACCTTTCATGATGACTCTTAAATTTAACCGCCCGTGTTGTTATTTTTGCTAGCTTAATTACACAGACAGTATCATTTAGTTGTTTTGCCCTCGCCTCACAGAGCATTTATGCATGCTATCTTTTAAGCTCATGTATTACCAACACTGATATTATACTGATTGAATAAACTGGTCTTGTTTTTGTTTGCAAAACCTTATCTATTTTGTTTTTTATTTTACAACTTAAGCATCAAATGCAATAGTTGAAAGCTAATAATATCGCAACTTAGTTATCTTGTCCTGACGACACCTTCGTGCGGTTCTAGTTCAGTTAGCCTCGACACTTATTGGCCGGAACTGGTTTAAGGTCTTAAGAAAATAGCGACCGCTTTTTTGCCGAGAACAAAAATCGACCCTTTACCACCCCATTTCCGTTATGTGCCCTGGCCTGACGTGTACCACTGCATGCAGTTCATGCCGTTATGCCTTCAACTCCCGTCATTGCGGACACCCCCAGGACCGCGTCTCTTACCCTTTAAGCCCCAACTGAATATCCACATACAAGTTCTCCAGACTGATCTCCATACATTGTCTTAAGAAGTTAGTTGAGAGAAGTTGATATAAGATCAGAGTAGTTTTTTCTTTGGTGATCATTTTGTCAATTCTCATAACTATGTACTGATGATGTTAGGAGAAAATTAATTAAATGAAGGTTTTTCTTGGGATTTAGGAGTTTTAAGATTCCTGTTTGATGACACTCCCTTAAAATCGTAATCACATCTAGCGGCCTGCTCGGTTCTCCCTCTTTACTGTAAGGAGGAAGCGCTCAAGTAAACTAAACTTCAAAATCCACGTTCACAAACTTCATGCTTCTTCTCTGTTTGCATGCCCTCTTCCCTTATCTACATGTTAACCCGGTTCACTGGTAAAGAGGTCGAATGACCGGCAGTTAGTCTGCTACAGTGTATGGTTTTACAGGCAGTTCCAATATGTGTTGGTTTCTAAAAATGTTCAGCACAGATTTGCCATTTCTCAGTGAGTCTCTCCTTCTCGTTGCCATATTTTCGGAGTCGAAAATGAGTCGTAAACCCCGTTTTAGGAAGCCTTGAAAAATCTGTCTAAGTGGACAATTGCAAAGCGCGCCCAATGGAAAGAATTCGTATTAACAAGCGACAACACTTAGTTGAGTTTCTTCGGATTCACCTATCTTTATGAAAACTGAAAAAAAGATTCCGTAACGAAATATCTGGGTCGTCACAGGCACAGTGGAGAGATCTCGAATGAGCTGAGCCTGTTGAATGAGCTGTATTACGTGCAAATTTAAAGGTAGATCGCTTACATACCACTGAAAGAGTGAAAGGTAGACAACACGGAAAATTTTGAAAGGGTTGTTTTCTATTAAAGCACTTAGTTCCTGAGTTGTGGAAAAATTGAAAGAATTTCTGGATCTGCAGCCTTAATCTCGTACCCACATCTCTTGTGACAAAAGATCTGGGTAGGAGATTACTGGAGCCTATATATTTATTTTTACAGATTGCACAGTAATAAAACCCGATGCCGACTACTAAAAACAGGTCATTGTAGTTATAATGACTGATGTTATGTGACAAGTATGTGCTTTTTACCCAAAATAACACAACATATAATCAACCCATTTATATTAAAAAGACGTGATTGACCCATTCATCCTAAAATATGTAAATATTTAAAAAATTCACGCTAAACACAGGCGTTAGCTTATTTACATCAATACAAATCATTCAATTCACAATCTAGGGCAAACTACCGCTCGTTTCAAATACTGAATTCAATATTGGGAATGACAGCAATGATATTTCCGTGTGTTCATAGCTGCAGTTACTGTCACGTGTTACGAAACATACGCGCGCAGGCTATGATGAGGTGAGATTAGCGATTGCAGTTGTCACGTTGTGACATACCAACGTGACATTGGAGCTGGTACCAGGGCCTCCTCCAGTTTTCGCAGCATTTCCAGCCCAGTCTGGAAAAGTTTTTAAGTCGAACATAGGGACCCCATAGGTATTGACACAAATTATCAGCACTGTCACGGCTAGGACATTCATTACGATACCAGCTTTTGCCTGACGAAAGAAAAGAGTCGTATTTGAATCGTTTTTCAGTTGACTTTGCGATTGGGCCAGTTTTCATCAGAGTGTGTTTTAATTTTACTTTGCTTTAGAGAGATTTTTTATTAACCTGGCCGATAACAGCAAGCACAGACAATTCATACGCAATGAACCAATCAGATGGCTAGGCGGCGCTAAGGGGAGGAAAACACTACGTGCACACAAGTTATAATTTGCTTTGGCTGGATTTCTGATTGGTTAACACCATGGTGTGATTCTTTTAGCAGCCAGTCACAAAACATTCCAATGCAAAAGCAAAGGAGCCACGATAGTAACTAGGAATTCAGTAAACTAATGACAAAGACAGTGAAGCCAACACCGTCATAAAGTTCCAAAGAATGGGACCTTTATGAAAGACCATTCCAAGAACCACTGGCTTTATTTTGGTGGGCGCTGTAATGGATTAAGGCGACATCAAATCAATTATTTTAATGAGTAGTCAATAAAAAACCTCTTTGATTACAATCTATACATACCATGTCCTTGACTTTGAGGTGTCCACCGGCAAATATAATTGCATTTGGTGGAGTAGCGACGGGCAACATGAAGGCGAACGAACAAGAGATAGCAGCAGGAAGCATGAGGTACCAAGGATGGACATTTATTTCCTCTCCCTGAATAAAAGATATATAAAAAAATAGTGTTTCTGATAGGTATTACATACAAAATCACATTGGTCCCAGCGATATACAACAGCTGCATTTTCAAGAGAAACCTTAAAACAAGTGACACACTCAGGTACCAAAACACGGAGCCTACTGACTGAGTGGTTAGTAGCTTTTGCGCATAGCCATAAACACCGCGGCAGTTTCAGCCCACCCTCTGCTTATTTGGGCTCTTCAGTAAGAATGGCATAGCCGTCAGATCCAAAGGCCGTTCTCAGGTGACCTTAACTGCCGAGGTGAGTTAAAAGCAACCCTTAGACGCAGGCTCCACATAACATTTCTTATGCGTACAGCTCTTCTTAGTGGACACTTCTTATAGTCGCACAGAGGCCCGCTTTGGGGAGGTTCTAGCTCGCCATTGAGTAGACATCTAGACCCCCTCTATCAAATATCCCTGCATCGGTCGCTGTAAAAGTCTCCTAATAAAGCATCCACTTAATTTATCAGTACAAAAAAATTAGAAATCATACTTGCAAAGAGCGTGAAAAGTGCAAAAATCTCAACCCTTCATCAGGTTGTTGAACATCAAAAAATACCCTTGATATTAATAACTTTTTATTTCTTCAGTTAAACAGTTTATCCCCTTTTCGCTATTTCATTTCCATTTAACTAACATTTTTGTCGAGTTCAGAGTAAGAAGAAGTCACAAATAAGCTAAAAGACAAACTCACAAGCGATGCCAGTATTGGAAGGAAGATGGTGGCTGTAGCTGTGTTGGAGGTGACCTCAGTGAATGTAGTAATCATTACACAGACGATAATGACGATTGCATAGCTTGGTATGGCATCAAGATAGGCTAATTGGGTTCCAACCCACTTGGATAAGCCAGACACCTGTCAGATAATTAAATCACGAGGTAAAACTACAAACAATTAAGAGACAGTGACAACAAAAATTTTTCTTTTCAGTTGCAAGCCTGCATTGCAAATGTTCGAAAAGAACTGAGGAAAGGGGCAACAGAGGACGCACGGGAACCTAATTCCTAGAATCCGTACGGCTTTATGTCCCCTTCCCCTCCCCCCTAAGGATTCACAGGAAATTTTAGAATAGACCTTTTAAACATATACTGGCAATATATACCCGCAATCTTTGCACGCACATAAGGAAAACAGCTAATGAAAACCCCCATCAAATCAGCACCACTATTTCTTACCTTACACGCTTCCGCCAAAGCAAATCCACTTCCAAGTAGCACAATAATATTCCATGGAAGCTTTTTTTGCATCGACCTGAACTCCAGAAGGCCAGGTGGTGGTTTGTTCGCTATAAAGTGGTAAAAGTAAGTTAAGCAAGGGTTTTGTATGGCCATTCTCTGCATAACTACCAGTATAGCGAAATAAGAAGATCAAGAAAATAAAGACAAACAACTAAGGCATCTGTCTTCAAACCAAATAGTTTTCTTTTACTATGATGTGGAAATACGAGTGCGCACGAATAAAATAGTCTGTAACGTACATAGTAATTTACACACATAGGTAATTTGCTTGGGTTTTGTAAATTTCTAACTTGAACTTTAACATTTATCAACCTCTGACGGTAGTACCCTAAGGTGCGCACTTTTTTAATGTCTGTACGATTGTGTTCGATCTTTCTTCGCGAGGTTCTGCGATTCACGTATTTTTAGCTAATTGTTATTTATTAGTTATATCATTACCACCCTCATTATAGCCTACGAAAACAGCCGTCAGTTTCTCCTCGCTCTTCGCCCCTGGGGACGTTTCGCGAGAAGAAACCGACTGTTTTCGCAGGTTACCCTCGGCTTATTAATTTATTAGAAAAATTGTACGTCTAATTTTACTTCTTTAATAGATCGGCTTGGAAAACAGCTTTTTAAATTTGTTAAGAATTTAAACAAATTTTCTTACTAATATTTCAAAACTTCACTTGTCCTTGAGGCATGTTAAAAACAGAATTCATTAGCCCGATCACAAAATCCATAAACCCCGGGCTATCGCCGGACGCGACTTTCTTTGGAGGCTGAAAAGGGATATATTGGCGACACCTTGTTTGTGCGCACCTGCCTCAAAAGTGGGATTGAAGTCTGGATTGGATCGGTTCGAATGTTCCGTCGCCACAGTGTATTGTAAATCAACCTACAATTTGAGTAGCACTACAATTAATCAAAGGAACACTAACTAGCCAGAGATTCCACATTTCTTTTCCGCTCTCACCTGAACCATCGGAAGCAAAGATCCTTGGTCGCTCGGAGGGGAACACAAATAATGAAAACGAAATTATCATAGCCACCGTAGCGTCACGAACGTAACTGGATAGAAAAAAAAGAGAAAACCAATTAAATGGCAATAGCATCTTCCCGGCGTTTACGATTTTCCTTGGTTTTAGACAAGATCAAAAGTCAGCGTGGGATGAGGTCACATTCTCGTGAAGACTTCGGTTAGCCATTTATTTTTTCCGCAGAGATAGAAGAACGAGTTAAGCGCACGAAAGGGCGAACGCTTGCCTCTTATGAGGAGACGCGATCTGCTACTGAAAGTCAAATTTTCCTCTCCCTTCGCGTCGTGTCTCCTTTCGTAACTTTACCTTCCGCGCGCCAATTAAAGTGTTTTGTTTGTTTTTACGACTTGTGAGGAAAAAACTAATTAGTCATACATAGTCTACTTCGTGTACTGCTCTTGACTCATCCACAACTCCCTTAACATTAAGAAGGCTGGGCTCTAACACTGCGCTGGTATCACAGGGATCGTTTGCTAACTAGCTGTGCAACCTGTTCCCATTATTTTAATAATTAGGCTGATTTAGCAACAGAATGGGAACGTTAGTTGATAACGGCGCACGCAAATAAAACAACTGGCTTGACCAATGGTACAGCGGCAAATTGGGCACCGGAGGTCGTGTTTAGTCCTTTCCGCGCGCTTTCCCGTCGCCAACTGACGTTCCCGTCCTGTTGCTAAACCAGCCTATTATCAATAATTAAACTTTCCTTCTGGGGTAACGTAGTTTTCATTTGTTTCTAAGGGCTGGGATTTGGCCCAGGGTTTACCTAACTTCCCCCTTCTTAAACTTATCATCAACAAGCATTGCATTCTTGAAACAAATTGAATCTACGAGTGACAGTGTCAAAGAATTAATTTTTCTAATGTTCTTTAAACAAGAGAAAACGTCCACGAGTGAGAGAAACCAGGTGAGCGGCGAAGCAGACCACACCCTCCCCGTTTTATTAAATCTAATCCACATTTGATCCGCATAAATGACACGCGTTCCCCAATGAACCGAGGAAAAAATATCGACTGCTCGGCAAGCGCTCAATAAAATTAAAAAATGGGTTCATAAGATGTGTTACATTCCAAGGCCAAACTAACCAAAGATAATCTTACTCTTTTTCGAATATTATGGACCATCCCTTAATGAATTTGGGATCACGAAACAGCCACAGTAACGCCAGCATGATAAAATGTCCAAGAACGGCTTTCTCAGCAAACCTGTCAAAGCAAAATATTATGCTAAATTCTATACTTTTCAGTCTTTAAAGTTATTCTGTGGTTAGCAGAAAATGAATCCACCCTTGAGGTATATTGTGGTAGCTCTGCTCAGTCAGATTATGTAGCATGTTTACTACAAGTTCCTTCAGAATAAATTTAGTAGCTATCAGTAATATTAAAGCGCGCTTGAATTTCTTTTTCTTTCGCTCGTGCTGTTTTTATGAAAAATCAACACTAATGTCCGAAAGGAGGACAAGTAATGGCTAAAACCTCATGGCACTTTCTTTTGCCAGTCGCCCTATCACTTGACACCGAGTATACTGTATATTTTCAATGGTTTAGCAACACTCGATGTAAATGTAATTAAAACTTCATTCAAACACCGCTTAACGGACAGCCCTCTCAGTTCCCGTATTAAAGGGGTTCGACTGTACTCTAAAGTGCTTACGACATGGGTCCAAGGGATCTGTACTGTTCCTGCAAAACCATTTTGATCGCCTGCGCCGAATGGTCCTTCTTCTTTGACCTCGACAAGCAGAAACAACGGCAACATCTACGGAAACTGTAACACAAGGAACGTGAACTCAATTAAGTGAAATTACCTACAACGAAAAAATCATCCCTGAACAACTTAATAATTCCTTTCACTCCTCAGTGATCAAGACAATAAAAAATCATGAAGAATTCCACTTCTCTTTTTCTTTTAATAAATCCCATAAAATAAGTAGTATATTTATCCCTTTTAGTGACAAAAAGGAAAAACATCAATTTTTGCCTCAACATATTCATACATTATCAAGCCGGGAAGAAAAGGTTAGGAGAATTCAGTTAATAAAATGACCAGCAAAGGGAAATTACTTTGATGTTTTGAAAATTCTCTCAACTATCTTTAGGGAAATGGGTGGAAATCAACCTGGACAATTTGTATATGGATATTGGGGCTTAAAGGATAACAAGGCGGCAAATATTAAGCTATCTCGTCCCCGTCCCTCAAAGTTGTTAAGCGGCGCGGGTTGTGTCTTAGGTAAAATGCACTGCACCGGTCTTTCCTAAGATACTTTGCACTCTATATTTTGTATGCGATACAAGGTAGAACACATAATAGTACCTGGCATAAATTCTACTAGAACACAGCCAACATTGGCCACGCCGCCACTGGTTTCTCCATGTAATGACTTCTAAGGAACGAGGGCAGAAATTCCATACTGATGACGCGTCACTACCCAGATCTGGGTAGTGCTTCTGATTGGATGAAGCGAATTTTCAACCAATCATATGCACTATCCAGATAAAGGTAGTAAAGCGTCATCAGCATGGTCGGACGCCGTACTTTTCATGTGCCGAACCTAATTAGTCTCGCTTGCGTAAGCAGCGAGACTCATAATCTGCAAGCCGTTTTTCTTCGTATTTATGACACAATACGGGAGTCATGGTGCCAGGCGTTCCTAACGGAGACCGTGGAAATTAGGAATAAGTTAAGAATCGTTGCGTGACCGAAGCCACACATGTTTTGCGAAGAAAGCTTAGGAAAGATTAAATTCAGAGCTTTTCCGAAACGTGTCGGTGCACGAATTCTATCTTTTGAAAGCGTTGATTACCTTGGAACAAGTGAACACTACTGAGTGGTCGAAAAAAAAAAAAATAAGAAGAATCTTAATTAGCAAAGCTGCGTTGGTCGGTTGTTGTAAACTTTCATTGTATGCAAATGCATCTTGTGATGAGCATGCGGTTTATTTTCGGCGATGATTGAAATGACTTGCCATGTGAATCACTTTTTTGATCTTTGGCAATGCTGTAATTTCTCTGGACTTATACACGCGTATAGCCTGCGATCGCAGACTATTTCCGGTCGTGGCTAACACGCCTACTAAATCAATATCCTGCACAATACTCGACGTCGATAAAGTAGGAAGTAAAAAACCTTTAGCTAGTACATCTTGTTTCGTGTAGAATTAATCGCCTCCTCATTTCTCGGTCTAATCTCCAGGCAAGCGAAACTGAAAGCCGCTGTAAGAGCCTTCTTATTTAATAAGTTCGACTTTGTAGCGACACTGGCGCGACATCTGATTCAGACGGCGTACCGTGTGTCGAGCCTAAGTTAAGTTGGACAAAAGCTCGACAGACTCTGTCCAACTTTACGCTGTTGCCGCACCAAACTAAAACTACCGTACCAATTTGACACCGCTCTCTTGCCGTACTCAATTCATAAGTTTGGTACGGCACACAAGTGGAGCGGCGTCTAAACCGGGCCTCAGGCGTCATAACGCGGGTAAACCCGAGTGGTGGCGTTGCAAAATGTCATCTGTTTTCTCAGGCTACTATTATTATACCACCCTTCAAGTAACATAATTCACAAGGCTGGATGCGCGTTTTAGTCGTTGTGAGATCAGCTGCACAGCCTCAGCAACCTTAACGATTTGGGCAATGAAATTTAAATAAGGAAGTAATGTAGCGCATACTTAATTTTGAGGAACAACAGCTGAAGCCAGACCCATGCAACAAACAAGAGGATCACCATCTGAGGAAACGCGTAACCAAACCAAGCGGCGAAGCCAAAGCCGGGACTATCTGGGTAGATACTGAAAAAAAAAAACATAATGATTTATTTTTTCATGTCCAGTCTTTTATATCTTAATCGAAGAGATTTCATAAAAATACCTAAATATATCTATGTTTTGTTTTGCTGCCGCTTTAGACCAAAACTATTAATTGCAATTTTTTTATTCGACGTGAGCCCTCCTGATGAGTTTTTGTTACTCTTGGGGCAAACTTCGCCAGTAAAATATTATAATAATGAAAAAATAAAACATAAGACATACTTCCTCAACAGTGGAAAGGTAAGTCGTATAACCTTTCCACCACATAAAGATCCGTTCACAAATTAGCGTTTATCTTTGATCCATGAGAAACGCGAAATTGCTGTAGTACTCATTCCAAATAAAATCGGACAAAAAGATTTGTAGAGCTTTTCTCCTTTGAATCACTTCTTTTTCTTACTACCCCTGCTCATTCACAAGAAGGCTAGAGATTTATGCGCTGTTTTGCAAATGACTATCTCAAAGACCAAATTGTTGGTTTGCTGGGAGCGCTTTTTAGTTGAAGATTGCTTCTTGGGGAGTATACCGCAAAACCAAGGTAAATCAATAACCCTGGCAAAATACAAAAAACACATATAAACAATAGAGCCAATAACTGGCGTTAGTCGATATAAAGGGAGGCTTTCGATACATTGCTTATAAGCTGAAACTCGAAATATTCTAGTCAGTCACAATTACCATAGCCACGTGCTAAGCTAAAACCAAGAGAGAATGATCTATTCTCTCTTGCTAAAACTGAAAAAAAAAATTAATTAACTTCTCAAACTCCACGCTCTAGCTGACTGAAAGTTATAATAAACAATGGAAAGACTTGCCTTGTAACCTGTCCACTAAACACTAGGTTTGGGGCAGTTCCCGTCAGGGTGGCTGTACCGCCGATATTGGCAGCGTACGCGATAGACAGCATCATTCCTTTACACATTTTGTTGTAATACTGTGTCTCGCCACTCTGTAAGAAAAAGCAGCCAAGATAGAAATAAATATTTAAGTTACTACCTATTCATCTTTTAACAGAATGACCAGAATTATTTCAAAAAATGGGGGACTTGCACAGTGTTTAAATTTCCGGCGGTATACGACGCCCAAAATAAATTTCTAGTGTTCCAGAGTCACACGACCCGACCAATTGATTTCTATACCCTAGCCAAAGGAGGTAATCCAGACTAAACAATAAAAGTTAGCTGAAAACGTGCACAGTCATCAAACCTTAACAGAAAAGAACACTTCTCACCTCTACCTCTTCTTCATCTCGCATTAAATTTACGGAAGACATTCTGAAAATTATCGGTAAATTAAGTAAATATGTTGTTCATATTGTTTTACGTTATTGTACTGTTTTGTACTGAAATAATTACAGGCATCGGTTAGTCCTTCAACAATGCACTTCAGATCCTCTTATGCGCAGTTGAATATTTTCGTAGAAACTGCGCGGTACAAATTTCTATTAATAGTCACATATAATTTGCAGTCTCACCCCAAAAAGGTTCCCGGGCAAATTAAGATCCCCCTTTCATAAAGGAAGAGCGATTTTTAACTGAGCTTAATGATGGGGGAAGATGAGTGAAATTTAAAAAGTGTCTCAGCTATTTACTCTGAGAGGTTGTAGAAGCAGCCTACGTTTGAAAAAAATAATTGATACAATTTAACTACATTTTTACCAATTTTAGCTTCTCATATGCCGAAACTAATGCATAAATTACTACTTTCTATTTACTTACGACTATTTTCACATATTATTGAACATCGTGAAAATGAATTGAGTCCGACTAATAAGCTCGACGTCTGAATCAACGGAACAACATTGTTTGAACAAACGTAAAGGTTATAAGACAAAACGAAAAATTGGTAAAAATTGTCTTGACTGTTTATCGGGTGTTGACAATGCGCATGATGATCGTATAGGGCTTTTTTAACAGCTGGACCGAGCGGACCTATTAAACTGTACCGTTCATCCTTTTGGTAACGCAGTCTAGCTTCAGTGTTACCATTGGCTTCACCCTCGGCTTTGTGGATTTCAGGTTCCTGGACTGTTACTGTCTTCGTTTCTTCTTTTTCCTGTTCTTCGTTTAAATCTCCAAGCTGATAACTCCCATTATGAGGGACGACTTCGTCAAGCTAGAGCATGATAAGGTGAGAAGAAAAGCCAGACGAATGTTATTCATCATTGTTCGTAGCCTCGATTTACTTGTCCCAGTTAAAGTCGCAAAGCATGACTCACTTTCCTTATCAGTTACAAGTTTACCTCCCTATGCTAGCCCTCTCCTTAGGGGGGAACTCCGCATATGAAAGGGATCGGGATGCTCGTCGGAAATTTTGAATTAAACCCCTAAAGGAGACCGATCTGGGCGTGGTCAAGCTTTTTTTAACCCCTAAAAGAGACCATGTTAAAACTCAGACAATATATATATTTTTATATTTTTTCGCGTGCAACCCTACACGAGACCTTCACGGCTAAATAAGATGTCGTTTTGCCCAGAACACCCTACATGTAAGTGAGACCAAAATCCGAAATTTACACCCCTAAGCGAGACGACGAGCATCCCCACCCCTTTCATATGCGGAGTCCCCCCGGGGCCCTATCCCCCTTTCAGTGTATTGCACCCGAGAGGTGATAATTTGATCGCCTGATACTCAAGTCGAGTTGGTTGGCTGGCCGTTCAACATGTACATTAAGCAGTAAGTAAATCTATAGAAGACTGAAGAAAATTAAAGAATGCTTTTTAGTGAAAAATGTAGTTATTCTTGATAGAAAACCCTCAAATTTTAACCTAGATTACAATTGTGAAGACCCAATAAGCTTTCAACGACTTCATTAAGAAATGGGACAAGAGAACACAAATGCATTATTGCTACATCAAGGTGTGCCCCTCAGGCTTGCGATAATGCACTTCAAACCGTAATGTAGCATCATACGCTCCCGAACATGATCGGGATGATTACTAACAGCTCCCTTAAAACAGGATAGACTGCGTTGTAGTTACTACAGGTAAAAATAGTGCATTGTCCCGGGGGAGGGGAATTCTCCTTATAGGGTATGTGCGACACCAAAGGGTAAGGTTTTCAGTATCTTGATCGGAAATTGCGTGTCGACTTTAGCATTTTGAGGCCAGCCTAGAACCAGGCTCCTAGGTGGGGAGAGAAGGCGAATAACTGGGTCCAAATAACAGTAACCTCGTCCCAAAGACTTTTTTCCCTAAGAAAGGGCTAAGAATCCTCTTGCTAAGAATCATAGTATAGATGGAGAGCACTAACTTGGAAAATAAAATAAAAATAAATGGAAAGGAAAAGCCCTTGGAACGGGATTGAAAAATCGGCGAGCGAGGAGCTTGGGAGGGGGAAGAAAGGCGGAGCCTGGAGACATGAAGTACCTTCCTGGGCCAGGAGCCCCCTGCCTGGGTAAATTTTCCAGCCGGGCATTTCTTGTTTCCTTTGAGCGGATGGTTTATTGGCCCTACGACCTTACAGTAAACGTACTTTCACCACGAACTAACGGCTTAAAAAATTACACATGTTAACGTTTATTGCCATACTTCATCTGCTTTGCTGTCTTCGTCATCGTTTTTCTCCAAGCGATTTTTGATGCTTTCGTTTTTAATTTCAGATAACACTGCTTCAACAATTGGCACCATCATGGCAGTAGTAGCGGTGTTACTTATCCACATGGAAAGAAATGCTGTGGTCAGCATGAAGCCAAGCATCAAGCTACAAAGAACGATGGATCAATCGAATCAGTCTAACCTGTATTTACTGGTCACCCTATATTGAACAGTGGCGGTCATCACTCCCTGCCTTCCATCAATTGCCTTCGGAATTCAAGAAATTTTTGCTTGTGGAATCCAGAATCTGGGAAAATTTGCTTGTGGAATCCGGAATCCTGGGCTTTGGAATCCGGAATACAGCTCAAGGAATCCGGAAACCCTCTAAGGATTGCAATCCAGAATCCAAGTTCCACTGACAAAGACTGGAATCCAGTTCCTGGAATCCAGAATCCACCGCGTGGAATCTAGAATCCAAGACTGTCTTGGATTCGCTTATATAGGGCGAGGACACCAAGTTACTGTTTCAAACGTTACCCTGAGGTAAATTTCCCTTGGGTGATCTTTTACGCTATCTTACCCTCTGTGAAACGGTCACAATGTTACCAGGTAAATACCCTACCGTTTCTCAAGTTAACAGATATAAGTAGCTGTGCTTAGGATGGTGGGAAGAGTGAAAAAAGCCTTCTCTCCGTCACCCTTCTCATAATTTTCCAGGCACTTTCGATTCCCCCCTCCCCTCTCCTCCAAGTACGTTTAAAACGTACTTATATTTTTATTTCGTGAGAAAACGGGTGAGGATGCAGTTATTGGATGTCCTTCAACCCTTAACTTCCACCCCCCCCCCCCTCCAAACACAGACGCTACCCTCTTCCATTTAGATCCTCACCTTCGAGGCTGAGCACCAACCATCAACAGAACTCGAAGAGCAATTCGTTTGTGTAAATTCCAATGCTCCACGGCGACCGCAACAATCAAGCCTCCCAAGAAGAGTACGTTTGTGTCCTTGAAGTAAGGAGTAGAGACTTGTTTGGATCCAAGGACACCAAATAACGGAAACAGAACCAACGGAAGGAGAGCGGTGACAGCCAGCTCCACAACCTCGGTCACCCAGTATACCGCCATGATGAGTATACAGTATGCACATCGTGCTTCCTGGTAAAAGGAATACGAGACAATGGTTAAGCTTGAGGAGAAATAGCAAAGTCTTTCTACGCGCTAAGAGCCTTTGAGTATTTGACACCAAGAACATCAATTTACCCAAACTTTTCTAGGAATCAAGTCTCATCTAAGTCAGGAAAAACAGCACATCCATTTGCACTTTCTAACAAAAATTCACCATTCACTTGCGCGACACAATCAGTTAAACGTTTTACAGTCAATGGAGCAAGTAAGTGAGCGATCCAGCTAACCCATGTTTCTCTCATCTGCAATACCCCATTCATTGCGCATGTACTGCAATTTACGGCTCTGGACAGAGCCCTCAGTAAAATGTAGCGTTAACTACACGATGCTTCACTCTGTTTTTGTGTGAAAAAAAAATTCTCTGACACTTCGCAGAATTTTTCTGGAAACAACAAATTACCATTAGAATTTGGGTGATACGAACATACAATATAAACAAAAGACAAATAACACTTGACGATAAACATTACCATTCCCTCTGGTCTAACTTAATATATTTTAAATATCTCTTCATTGTTTGAAGAGTTCATACAGTCAATAGATGACATTGTTAATACAGTAAAGTGCGCAAAGCTGATAACTTCTCAATTCATATTAAAATTGGGTAAGTTATTGAGGAAGACAATGCAAGTAGGACTTGATCTTCTGTTTACCGCGGCTAACGTTGTAAATAGAGCAGTCATCTTAATGGTCCAAAAGACATTATATCTCTTTGAACGTTGTTCCTTCGCGATTGCCAATAAATACGTTTCACATTAATTGTCTTTAACGTTATTCAATTTTGAAACATGAGAGCACACTGTAATACTACCAAGGATATCTAATTAATGAAAACAGATTCTAAGTTGAAGTACTAGTAATTACTTGAAGAATGTCTTAATATATGCTAGGCCACCACGTATATGGTACAGTTTCTGGCTTCCTCGCGCGACACAACATTTTGAAATCATTCCGCACAAACGTGCTGACTTCGTGGTCTCTATTTATCCCTTGGGTAGCTTCATTACAATTAGTTAATTAGCTACTGGGCAAATGTTTTAGTTGAACCCATGGCAAATACAATATTCAAAGCCTATGCTTAACGTCAACTGAACATACTTCTTCCACTTATGTCTGTCAAGGCAGGCTCTCAATGGCGGCTGTAGGCCGATGTGACGGTTCGAAATGAAATGCATGATGTTCTTATTTTAAATTAGCTTGACATTCACGCCCTTTAGTAAACCAGTGCAGTAAAGGGTATGGATAGAACCCCAAAGTGTAACCATATTTAACTGATTTGGTAGCACTTTCTAGTGATGGCGGTGACTGCTTTTGTTGTTTTGTATTATCAAATTGAATTTTTACAATTTTGGAGAAGATTAGTGTAACAAACAGACAATCTCACCGATCCAGGAACTGCAATGGGCAGCGGTGCCAACAGCAGCGGCGTCAAAAGAAGAATGAGATATTTGCGCCATCTCAGAAGGGTCTTCGCAACGGAGGTATTTTCGTTTTTGGAATTTGTGCTCATATATGACGGCGATCTGTGGTCTTTGTTCTCCTGCGTTTCGTTTCCTCTTTCTCCAAAGGTTGGAGAAGAATCCTGGCAGGCCTTGTTTGTCTCTCCGATTTCCATTCCTTTCCTCTTTTGTTCGAGCGAAAAGTAAATTTGAAACTTACCGACTAAACGAGTTCTAGTGCAAACTGAAAACTGGACAGTAACAGCCAATCACAGTGGCTTCCAAAATTGTTCTTCACAAATCACACACCGAGAAAAGCAGGTTGGTATACAATCAGAGTTAAATAAAGACGGCCAGTTGAGCTTGTCTTAATATTTTGTTCCCATGTTCCAACGCAAATCGCTAACTTTGAACTTTATGTTGTCAACATCAAATACGCAAATACAAATACGCAAAGCTCCCTAAGGTAGGTACCTCAGCTAATTAAAAATACCACCCGCAGAAAAAAACAATCGTTTGACAAACAAGTTGACAAATTAAAGTGTCAGAACGAGATTGAAACGTACTCGTAGAACAACAAATTAAAGTGTACAAGTTAAGTGATATTGAGGCTATAAGCTGAGTGAAGAGCGATTTGAAAATCACGTTTTGTCTGCCATCTTTTTGTTGTGTGCGTCGTTGCGGAAAACTAAGACCTGGAAAACTCATGGTCCAAAGAACCTAAAAACTCAGACCCCGCTGTCGTATCGAAAACTCGGACCCTCCGTTGCCTCGAAAACTCGATCCTCACCTAATTGTTTTCCTTAAATCGATGCCTTCAAATATGGAAACGATATTGCGACAATCGCTTTGCTTCGGAGCTACCTCATGCGGTCTTGAGTGAGAGAAACCACAGATGTCTGGCAACTGTACTTTAAAGCGGAACTTCTAAGAACTGTTCCTCACCAAAGCATAAGTTAAGAATGGAGTTGCATGACGACGAAGCGTAGTTTAAAGTCAGTAGAACTTCCAAACTTATGCCCAACAGAAAAGAATAAGAAATCTCTGCATAATAACACTGATAGGTTCTGAAATACCACGCACGGTATTACGTTTGAGTGCTGCACTTGTAATAACTACCTGTGCTTGTTACAATTATTGCCCTTGAATATTGCTCCAGTGCAAAGCGTTCGTCACAATATCGCATCGATATATGTTCACATCGATTAAAGCGGCCAACGCATTTTATGTGGGCGCTGGGTTTTCGAGGCGACGGCCGGTCTGACATATGGAAGCGTCTGTAATCTATGTTTTCGAGGTCTAAGTTGACGTCTTTCCCGTCAAGCTCTCGCGTTCTTATTTTAAAGGAGTACTGTTAGGATGTATCGAGTCACTATTTTGCAAAGTAGAAGCTGTCGTAAAAATGACAATATCAATAATAATAATAATAAAACAGGGAATTAAAAGCGACACTGAGACTTTCCTCTGAAATGGCCCATTTGGGTCACTAGGAGTCTGGGGGAACACGTCAACCGCGGTCAAACGTTTGTTGTTGTTGCCGTTGTTGTTTTATTTAGTTGGATTTCCTTCACCATTGCGTCGAAACATTGGCAAGGGTGTATAGCAAAAATAGTTAATTTGGCTATCTTTGTATTTCCCCCCAGCCCGCCCCCCCCAACCCCCCCCCCAAAAAAAAAAAAAAATTGTATGGGCAGTGTACAGAGCATCCAAGCAAACATTTGACAAACAACTGGAATACGCTGTTACTTCAACTTTGGTCTCTCTCAAAGGGTTACTTCCGAACGCCAAGAGATTTCCATTTCCATTTACTTTTCCTTTCATCTGTTTGTTTTTTTTTTCTTTTTCTCTTTAGAGTGCCTTAGGATTCAGCCTTACGATTCAACCGGAAGCCGATAAAATATAAGGTCCAAGAAATGGATCGTAGTAAGTGCGCAATCGGGAGAGCTTAATTTCACACAACATTTGTTTTCACCTAGGCCAAACTGCCAATAAACGGCTCTACCAATCACACCAGGTTGGAGCAAGTTTTCCCCTCCTTTCTTTCAACCGTACGTGTCATGTTTGTAGAGGAAAACCCCTTGAATTTACCCAGCATCGAAACCCCGACAACAACCTCCCTCGCAGACTTCGTCATGCGTTCCATCCCCTCGAAGGATTGCGACTGGGGAGGACTGCGTGACTGGGCAAAAGAACGTCAGCATGGAAGGCTACACCTGGGCGACACTCAGACTCAGTTAAGGCTATACATTCACACGAATCCGGCTATTTTTGAAATCGCATACTCTTTTTTACACGGTCATCCAAGCCGCATTGCTTTGAAACCGCTCTTCAGAGCAGTTTCAGGTCCCGTCCACAAAAATCGATCTGCATGATATATGCGGTTTCAAAAATGGTTTTAAAAAATGGTAGTCAGTAGGTGCTCGATCGCGACGATCTTTAATAGAAGAGAATCAGTCTGACTTAATAGACTAAGCAAGGTTGCCAATGAAAACAAACGTACAATTAACAAGGAAAGAAAACACACACACACACAAAGGAGTTCGTGACGCCGTTCTGGAAAATGTTTGACTGGCCAGTGTCTATAATATAACCCAAATCACATGTTGTACAAAAACACTGTTGACTCTGTTGACTTTATGCAAAACTGTCAAAGAAAATGGTTAAATGTTTTTAATGTAAATTTTAATTTTACATTAAAAATCTGAGAAAGGCGAATTCACTGATTAAACTGAAAATGAAAATAAATTAATAAATAAATAAATTACCTATCAACCAGATTTGAAAGCCAGCCATATTCAAGAACAGTATGCACAGCTTATCAAACGCCGCACAATAATAAGTGTTTTTCACATTTTCTCCTCAAAAGTCGGGGGTTGTTGATTGACATTTGCGCACAAAGGAGACTGATTTAGACGGGCTGATACTGTTATTTAAAAACATATGCAAATTTATAATAGTGGCAGTAGTGTTTTTAAAATATACATTTGATATTATTATAAAAAGACACCGAAGTCGAGGCTCGAAAGGGCTAAAATAAGTTGGATTAATCTACGATATCTTCTTGACCTTTACACTAGAATCCGATAACTAACTGGTACATACCGTCCCCGGTATTGCAATGGGTATAGGCATCAAGATAATCGGTGTTAAAACCAATATTAGATACTTCCTCCATGTTAATAGTCGCCTGCAAAGCGAAATATTCGTTGCTTGATTTGGTTCACTCGGAGATGTCGTAGGAGAGGCCATTGAATCGGACTGTTGGAGTTTGTCTGCCTCTTGCTGGCGCTCCAGGTTACTGTAACCTCTTAATCGCACTCCTTCGTTCATCTTGTGCTGCGAAAGATCGAATTTAGAGAACAAAACCAATGCACTGCATTTTAACATTTTACAGAGTGGTGTTTACTAGCTGGTCATCTATATTTATAAGGCTTCTATCTTGACATAACTATTTAATTATTCTAATTAGATCTTTGTTAGAACAATTACCTGTACCGTCCTTCTTCAAGCAGTCGATCAACTCAAAGCATGAAAATAGAATGCACCAACGGAGGCACTGGCATAAGAGCTGGAAATGATAATAATTTGAAAATAGGTAGGCTGATTTGCATACGATGCTGTCACGCTTGAGATCACCAGTTTAGCGCGTGTCAGGCCTTCCTTAGGGGCTAGGGGAGAGGAGATTTTACTCGAAAGAGGAAATTAGGGGTTAAGGACGGGAAGATTCGCTCTCTCCCCTTTTCGCTTCTCTCTTTCCCCGTTTCGCCAGAAACGCCTGATACTCAGAGGCTGCTAGTGCTTGTCACAGACTGCGCTCTCCACTCAGCCTCGTCCCCAGGGTTTTTAAGGGAAAGCCCTGGGGACGAGGTTGCTCTCCACTCTCCTGTGGGGGAAGCGGGGCACCCCTAAGTAACCTATTCAAGATTGGGCATTCAATTAAAATTTTTCTAATAGACGTACCTTATGTTTACAGCATTTAGTTTATTCTGAACGCTATGAAGATGACAAGAAGTAGGCTAGTACATGTGAGAGGTACCACTTTCGGTAACAGTTGTCCTGAGCTTCCTCCCAGGCTCTCCTCGCAATTGCGGCGCGCCCGATTCTCTTATTTTCTATTCCTACCAAAATCGAGCCAAACGAAGAACAAAGGGCACAGAGAATGCAATTAAAGCGCCAACTCTGAAACATGTGGTCAACCAAAGGCGAGAGGGAAATTAAAAGGAAGGCGCTACATAAAAAGATTTGCAGCAAGGGCACACAAGCCGGTGCTAGCTAATCGTGACTTTTCAGGATAGTTAACACTATGTGGAAGTAGTTTAATTTCATGTGCTAGTGTAGATGCTTCTGGGAGGCAAGCCATGTAGAATCCATGAACAAAACACACAAACACACGATCCTCAAATTTTGCGTAATTTTTTCTAACTAACTTTTATTATCCGTGTTTTTTTTTTTTGAGTCTATGTGATTGACTAAATTAAAGAATAAGCAGCTGTGGGGCTTTCAACAACAAATTTATAAAGCTGCAGAAATTGCGAACAAACCATGATGCTTGGCTGGAGGACACTGGCGGCCAACACTTACAAATGCTATTTTACTTACTTGAAAAGTATGGATTTGAAAAAGACTGAATTTTTTATTATTCAAAAATGTTATTTGAATTTTATAGAATAAAATTCTTTTTTATTACGTGGTGATGTCAAGTTGCAGAATTTAACAACTCTTCGGTTTGTTGCACGATTCAACATACAGTGTATATCATTATAAAAATGAATGAAAAATAAGTAACCTCATTATTGCGAACGGGAAGTAAAACGCATTTCTTATATTTATCATTACTACCACTATATACTACTATTATAACTGTTATTAATAATATTATTTTTGTCGCTTCAAAAAGATCAATGCCTGACAGACAACAGAATATTGAGATTAGTGCTGTCTCCATGGTGTCTTTATCAGTTATTTTAAAATTAGTTGTTAATTACCTTAAGTCTATATATAATTTTTTTTTTTTCAGAGAACTCATCAGACGAAAGACAGCCGCATTTGAAATGCCAACCCTTCCCTCGCAGACAACTGTAGAAAGCTCTCATTGTTTTCAAACATTGAAACCGCCAGAAAGTCATTTTAAAGTTATTTTGGGCAACTGTTTATAACTTACTGTTGTGATTTGTAC